GCTACCCACGGTCAGCAGAGTAGGGGGAAAGCTGACAGGTCATTGTAAATTAGGTCAGACCCAAGTCTATTGCTCCACAGGCAATGCCTGACTCCAAGGCCAGGCTGCCTATATGTATCATGAGTACTTACATGGTCACTGTTAGTACTGTATGCAAGCGCCCCACAGCCTGGGAGGCATTTATCCTTATGACATCTCTGGAGGCAGAATAGTGTTTTTACCCCCTGTAAGAGAGTAAAGACACAGAGGGTATCAGTACACAGCACAACACAGCCATGCTGATATACCCAGTATATGTGCCAGCTTGGAGGCAGGGTAGCTGTTTTATCATGATCCTCCAACCGAGCTAATATCCCCTACTTCACAGCAGGTCTAGTTTGGCTAGGGAGCATACCATACTAGCAAGGATAAGACTGCTCCTGGAATCCTAAATAAGATAGCTGGGGTGTCTAGATGGCATTGCCTTGGCCACATAGATTTACCCTAAGAGACTTGCCCAAGGACACTCAGTGAGTCTGTGGCAGAGCAGGGATTTGAACCTGGACTTACTATGCGGCCATTCTCCCTCTTGGCCCTCTGTGATATCATTGGAGAAATGAAGCTGAGAACAATGGTTGGTTCCTATCTTGTGCTGCTTCATCTCTGGATCTCATTTTATTTTTCAAAGAGGTGCATCTGTACGTAGTTGTTACTCCCTCAGCCAGGCTCAAGAGCTAGCCTTCCCCCTTTCCTACCTCAAACTAAACAGAATAGCAAAACAACAAAACACCCCCACCCCCTTGACTCTCCTATCTGGGGCAAGGGCTTCACCACAGTGCTGCCTTTCTTCTCAGCTTCCCTCCCTTCCCAGCGTCATCTCTGGGAGCTTTTAACTTTTTCTAGGGCCAGCCACTTAACCACGTCAGCTGGCCCAGAGCTCCTAGGCAAGCAGGCCAGTACCTTCTCACCCCCTGCAGCTAAGCTCCAGCCCCAGAGTCATGTGCCTTGTTACATGTCCCCACCACTTAAGAGTGGAAACCAGCATACACTCCTCCCTTTTCAGCTGCACCCCCTGCCCCATTTGGGAGAAGTCTGCATTTGCATTTAATTACCTGAAGAGTGGTTCCAAAGAAAAAGGAGTTAGACTGTTCTCAGTGACAGATGACAGAACAAGGAGCAATGGTCTCAAGTTGCAAAAAGGGAGGTTTAGGTTGGTTATTAGGAAAAGCTCTCTCATTCAGAGGGTGATGAAGGACTGGAACAGGTTATCTAGAGAGGTAGTGGAATCTCCATCCCTCAAGGTTTTTAAGGCCCAGCTCAACAAAGCTGAAATGGTCTAGCTGGGGATGGTCCTGCTTTGAGTAGAGGGCTGGATTAGATGATCTCCTGAGGTCCCTTCCAACCCCAATTTTCTATGATTCTATATGCAGTCCCAGGATGGTGGCATATTGAAAAAGAAATAAAGAAATAAATACATACACACACACACATAAATAAAATCAAGACTGCAGGGACAGGTACCATCTCATCAAATAGGGGTTGGTCTTCTGCATAGCATTAAGCCACATTAAAGGGGCATGGTCAGTGACCAAAAGAAAATGGGCCCCTAGGAGGTAATAACAAAGGGTCTCAACTGCCCATTTCATTGCTAGACACTCCTTCACTATCACCGCATATTTCTGTTCCTGGGAAAGGAGCTTTCTGCTGAGATATTGAATGGGTTGTCCACCATCTTCAAACTCCTGGGAGAGAACAGCCTCCAAGTCTCACTCCAAGGCATCTGTCTGTAATGTGAACTCCTCTGTTAAGTCTGGGCTGTGCTGGACCGGCACACTGAATAGTAGCTGTATAACTGTCCCAAATGCTGCCTTACACCTGGGTGACCACTGGATCCTTCGAGGTGCTCCCTCTACAGCATGTCAGTTAGCAGGGCTGTGAGGGCAGCAAATTGTGGGATGAATCATCTCACAACCCTAAAAATGACTTCACCTGCCATTTGGTTGCTGGCACAGGATATTCCACCAGGACCTTAACTTTGTCCACTGGGACCCAGTTTGGCCATTGCCCAGTATGTACCAGTATGTACCCCAGGGTGTTGCAAAGGCTGTGATTTCTTAGGACACTAGGACCAAAGGTATTTGCCAATACCCCTTGGTTAAATTCAAGATGGTCACGTATTTTGTGTCGCCTATTTTTTCCACCGGTTCATCTATTCTGGGTATAAGATGTGTGTCACACTTTGAAACTTCATTGACTTCAGGGAAATCAATACAAAACCAGGTGGTGTGATCAGGCTGTGGCACTAAAACAACTGGGCTACTCCACTCACCGGCAGATTCCTCTACCACCCCTAGGTCCCGCATTTTCTTAATCTCATTTTACCATTTCCCTCAGATATGCTGTAATTCTTGAGTATCCCTTCTGAATTACACAATCCAGTTTAAGCATAATCTGGTGTTCAATCCGTGTAGTTTTGCCCAGAATAACTGTAAATACATCTTTAAAATTCATCCAGTAGGTGTTTTCCTTCAGCCTGTTGAGCTCTGGGGTCTAAACCTTCCCTATCGTGAGGCCAGCCATGGGATCCATTGGGGATCTGCAACCCCCAAGCCAGCTCCCAGTAAACATATAGAGACCACACAAGCTTCTCAGACCCTCCAGGGCTCCAGCAGGTTGACACAATATCTGTGAACCCCACCATTTCCCTACTATGCAAACTTCCTAATTTACCTTGCCTACCCTCTGCAGGACCCCACTTAGCTAGCAACTTACTGTCGGAGGTGGGGAGAAGTAGTAATACTCTATCCCCTGGCTGATAAACCCAGAGCTGGGAATTTTTATTTATGCCGCTGTTGCTGTACAGCCCCAAGATTTTCTTTTGCAAGGGCACCCATCAAGTCTAATCTTTCCCATAGCTTCAGGACATGTTGGACTATGTTTTTTGTTGTTGTCCCTGGGCCTGCCAGGATTCTTGTAAGAGATTTAACATGCCCTAGGGCTGCCTCACATAAAATAATACAAAGGGTGAAAAGTCTGTGGAGGACTGTGAAACTTCTTGAATGACAAACAATAAGCAAGCAAGGTAATAACTGGTCTCTTCCAAGACCACCTTTTCCAACATCCCCTTCAGTATCTGATTAAATCTTTCAACTAATCCATCCATTTGGGGATGGTACACTGATGTCTTTATAGAATGGACCTTCAGTAAGCAACAAACTTCTTGCAATAACCAGGACACAAAGACCATGCCCTGGTCAGTCAAAACCTCTTGGGGAATGCCCACCCTGGAGAATATCTGTAATAGCTCAAAGGTCATAGTTTGTGCTGAAGCCAAGCAAATTGCCACAGCCGGGTAGCAGGTTGATAAGAACCAGGATGAACTTAGACCCTCCTGAGCTAGGCTGTAATGATTCCACCAAGTCTGCTCTGACCCACTCAAATGGTA